AAAAAAGGAAAAAAAAACATATTATGAATTGAATTAGCTAGCATGGTCCAAATTTTTGCAATTTGCATGTTCATAATCTTCGAACTCTTCAGAAATATCGTTAGACATGTTCGCGCTTCCAAAAAATACGTAGTTTTTGAAATATTCAACACGAATACGATAATATTTTTGAAGAGTCTGAACAACAACAGTGCGACTTAGGAAGAAGATCTCTTTGGAAGATTGAGAGAAGAAATGATAGAGGATATAGCAGAGGAAATAGATCCAAGAAGAAGCACACTAGCAGAAGCATTTGCTATGTTGATAAAATTTTGTATATTTTAAATCAAAATTCATTATTATATTTCAAGAATTAAAAATACAAATTTCCCCAAAATAACTAAAATAACAAAGAGACAAAAATTACAATGATAACATTAAATTCTTCATGCTACCAATCTCAAGCATGCAATTTATTCATGTCTTACTTATCATCAATTTCTTTTCAACAAGAAAACAATAAACAAAACTCCAAAACAAAAAAAGGAAAAAAAAATATGATGGTCCAAATTTTTGCAATTTGCATGTTCATAATCTTATATTGTTCGAACTCTTTAGAAATATCGTCAGACGCGTTTGCTCCTCCAAAAGTTACATAATTTTAGAAAATTCAACACGAATACGATAATATTTTTGAAGAGTCTGAACAACAACAGTGCGACTTAGGAAGAAGATCTCTTTGGAAGATTGAGAGAAGAAATGATAGAGGATATAGCAGAGGAAATAGATCCAAGAAGAAGCACACTAGCAGAAGCATTTGCTATGTTGATAAAATTTTGCATCTTTTGGGTAGTCTCATCATTGTCCTTAAGTCTGTTATATTCCACTGTCAATCCTAATCCAGCAGCAGCACCAGTAGCCAATAGGAATAAAATTATCTGCAAAAAAATATATACATGAATTATCACTTTTTCGCGAGTTTCACATTATAACTATTGGTAACAATTGTTTATTTCTTCTTATTTGAATTATTACCGTCTATGTATTAAAACACACCTCAACTACTCAGTACTTGAATTGATAGTTGAGAAATGTGTTTTAATATAAAGTGCACGGTAAAAACACAACTAAAATATTTTCGATTTTACGATTTTCATACCTGAACTATTAGGTGTGCGAGTTTTCTATTTGAACTTTCACAGACTATTTATCAAAACACAATTCAATGATCAATTATTCCTGAACAATGGTGATATTTCAAGTAGGAAAAGGGAACAACAGATAATTGAGGTGTGTTTCGATAAATAATTGATAGTAATTTAGGTAGGAAATTCAGACACCTCGAAATATTGAGATACTTAAAGTGTGTTTTTTCAGTTTTTCACCGAGTGTTTGATAGCCCTATTGAGACCCCAATTAATTCAAACTCGAACCACATTAAGGTCTATTATTAAAATGAAAAAACACTTTACTAATAAATTGTCACTACCAGAGCTCAAACCCGAGATCATTGATAATTATTTCAAAACCTTGTCATCATTGATTTACCTACCTTATCACCATAGAATTCAAAATAAGCAAGACCACCATCAATGGGACTTCCAGATTTCACATGGAAAAATATTAACACAATTAGTAACGATGTGTAGGCTATTCCAATCACATCTGCAGCTATCATATAACTGCATCCAAAAAATAAAAATAATTAGGATAAGTAAAAAAAGCATATACACATTCATTTAATCAAGTCCTCTAATGCGCGACTCTGAATTTAGTCAGGCTCCGATGTGCGATGAAAAATCAATAAAATATATACACATTCATTTATAGGAGTAATTCACCGTAAAACAAACTAGGGACTTGGGGTGAAGATGAGGTGTGCTGGAGGGTGGTGGGGACACAAGCAAGTTGAAATGTCGCTTGTGGAATCTATTTTCCATACTTCCACTAGAGAAGTCATTTTCCTCATTTTCAAAAAACTTGTTTTCTTACCGAACAAGAGAAAATTGGAAAATACTTTCGTTCGTACCGAACACACACAAAGTGATGAAGTATATTGTAAAGGGAAAAAGTAGTTTTACCGGTAAACATGAATGTCGGTGGAAACAACCTTGATTGGTGAACCATAAATGTTAAATGTATCAAAACTATTAGTAGCAATGACAATCAATGACACCAACAAGAAGCTAAATGTTATGAGTCTCATACACTAGAGATCCCACTAGTGGTTTCAAGCCAATCATTAGTGAAGAAAATGAAGTACTAGTTGATGATGTTTGGTTTTGGTTCATTGTTGTTGTTGTTGTTGTTGATGATGATGGTGTTTGGTTTTGGTCCATTTGGTTTATCTTGTACTTTTATTTGCTAGTTGTGTTGCTACTAATAAACTTGTATCTCCACAAAGTCATTAAGCCCCCTTTATATATTGCTTACAAAGTTACTACTCCTTTCTCAGTTTCATATTAGTTGTCCAACAATAATATATTTAGTGAAATCCCGAAAAAGGTACCTGGGAAAGATAGAGTGTACGTAGATTTTACATACACTCTAAATTGTCCACTTTATTATAAATAGTTATCCTAAATTACTTGTCAATTTACAAAACCAGAACATAATTGATTAAATTTTTTCATTTTACCTTTACAACTAGTTCTTTTAAAAAAGTGTTTGTAAACTCTGAAAAAAGCTTATTATGGAGTAAATTAGTAAAATTGTCTTTATTTATGATTTTGTAAGCAAAATGTAAAGAGAAAAGTAGACAACTAATATGGAACGAAACGAGTATTAATTTTTGTGGTTGTTTGTTACGCCCATGAGTTCTTGGTTGTATAAGTTACAACCAAATTCCTTGGAGGTTTGTGATTGCTTGTATAGTTATTTTCAAAGTTTATGTCTTAATCCATATCAAACATAAAAGTCCTCTTTATAATAAAAAATAAAAAAGAGCAGGCAACATTGTTTCCCTTGTTAAACATATCCTCCAGCTTTAGACAACATATGGTTGCAAAATATATTAACTTTAAATTCGCCACAGATTATATTTTTCTTGTTTTTTCGAGTTACAGGTGTATTGAAAATGATCTCTTTACCAAAAATACTTCAAATTCTTCTCTTTTTGATTCACTTATAAAACTATGTTGAATTAGTTATATTTGATAGTTCTAATTTCTTGTAGATTATACGTTTATTTTAATGAGCTTACCTTCTCACAAGACAAAGCACACCAATTCATCTGTTGTGGCCAAAAACAAAGTTCACGATTTATATCTATGAGCAGCGATTCATGTATAAAGCATAATGATACCATAGAGATAAAAAATGGACACCAAATTTCAACGAACAGCAGGAGAGACATAGTGTGTGCATGAAGAAAACAATTTGACTGTATAAGGGAGACAACGATATATCAACAAGTCCTAAGCATATATCAGAATGTAAAAGTATACTTTGGGCTTGACATGAAGAATATGGTGACAATCAGGCAAAAGTCTAAGTTTATCAATGTCTTTATAATCAACCAAACAAATTGAACAACCAGAAGAAATTAAAAAATCCCTTTTGTTGTGACTCTTGGCTTGTGAATAAAGTAATTTTGGATAATTTCTCAATGTTGTTTCATCAAGACCTTGTTGAATGAAAATCAATTGATTTTCAACTATACTTGTGTTGGTTGTGGTGTTGTTGACAATATTATGTGAAGAGGAATTATTGGTACTTGATCTTTTTCCAATATATAAGTAAGAAGAATAGGTGATGAGTATAAGTATAACAAGGATTAATATGGAAAATCCAATACCATATCCATAATTTTCAAAGCTTTTTTCACCAATGTAATGATCTTGAGTATCTTCAATGCCATCTCCTATTGTGTTGTTCATGATGAGAGACGAGTGTTCTTGAAGAGAAAATCGTGATGAAAAAAACACAAGGTTCTTGAAATTCAGAGAAACTATGAATCTTTTTTTTTGTGTTTGTGTGTGTGTTGAGGTGGAAAATTATGGAGGAAAAAATTGGGTATTTTTTTGGGTACTTTTTGGAGTTTAAGGAAAGGGAGAAATGTGTAGCTATTGAAGGTTTTATAGATACTATATAGTATATATATGAATATAAGAGAACCTTTTATGTCACGAAGGATTAAGCAACATAAAAAGAGTGTTGTTTAGGCAAAAAAGGTTCTTTTTTACTTTTTTGTTCTTTTAAACTTTTATTGGTGTGGTGGAAAGGGATTTTTTTGTTTGGGGGTGAGTGGGTTGGGTTAGGTGGGTGAGAGGGATGGAACATAGGATAACATAAAAAAAGGGGCTAATTGCACTTTTGATGCTCTAATTATTAGTAAGTTTTGATTTTGATCCTTTGTGATATTTTACTAAGCATATTTAATTTGGATTAATCAAAATGTGTTATTGGTCCTTCTAAATAGGGAATTGCTTATATTTAGATTGTTAGAACTATATTACCTTCTAATATGTGATAACAATACAAATTTAACACAAGGAATGAGTAATAAATGATATAACAATTAATATTTCATTAAATATATGAATATTCACAAATTGAAGGATAACAAACACATACTACAAATTTACAATCAATTCAATGTTAAATATATTTTACCAGGTATCACAAAAATTAAATCAAAATTCATTATTATATTTCAAGAATTAAAAATACAAATTTCCCCAAAAAAACTAAAATAACAAAGACAAAAATTACAATGATAACATTAAATTCTTCATGCTACCAATCTCAAGCATGCAATTTATTCATGTCTTACTTATCATCAATTTATTTTCAACAAGAAAACAATAAACAAAATTCCCAAGACAAAAAAAAGGAAAAAAAAACATATTATGAATTGAATTAGCTAGCATGGTCCAAATTTTTGCAATTTGCATGTTCATAATCTTCGAACTCTTCAGAAATATCGTTAGACATGTTCGCGCTTCCAAAAAATACGTAGTTTTTGAAATATTCAACACGAATACGATAATATTTTTGAAGAGTCTGAACAATAGTGCGACTTATGATGAAGATCTCTTTGGAAGATTGAGAGAAGAAATGATAGAGGAAATAGCAGAGGAAATAGATCCAAGAAGAAGCACACTAGCAGAGGCATTTGCTATGTTGATAAAATTTTGTATATTTTGGGTAGTCTCATCATTGTCCTTAATTCTGTTATATTCCACTGTCAATCCTAATCCAGCAGCAGCACCAGTAGCCAATAGGAATAAAATTATCTGCAAAATAATATATCTGAATTATCACTTTTCACGAGTTTCACATTATAACTATCAGTAATAAGTTGTTTTCTGTTCCTATCTGAACTATCACTGTTTATGTATTAAAACACACCTCAACTACTCAGTACTTGAATTGATAGTTGAGAAATGTTTTTTAATATCAAGTGCACGGTAAAAAACACAGCTAAAATATTTTCGGTTTTACAATTTTCATACCTGCACTATTAGGTGTGCAAGTTTTCTATTTGAACTTTCACAGACTATTTATCAAAACACAGTTCAATGATCAATTATTCCTAAACAATGGTGATATTTCAAGTAGGAAAAGGGAACAACAGATAGTTGAGGTGTGTTTCGATAAATAATTGATAATAATTTAGGTAGGAAATTCAAACACCTCGAAACATTGAGATACTTAAAGTGTGTTTTTTCAGTTTTTCACCGAGTGTTTGATAGCCCTATTGAGACCCCAATTAATTCAAACTCGAACCACATTAAGGTCTATTAAAACGAAAAAACACTTTACTAAAAAATTGTCACTACCAGAGCTTGAACCTGAGATAATTGATAATTATTTCAAAACCTTGTCATTATTGATTTACGTACCTTATCACCATAGAATTCAAAATAAGTAAGACCACTATCAATGGGACTTCCAGATTTCACTTGGAAAAATATTAACACAATTAGTAACAATGTGTAGGCCATTCCAATAACATCTGCAGATATCATATAACTGCATCCAAAAATTAAAAATAATTAGGATAAGTAAAAAAGTATATACACATTCATTTAATCAAGTCCTATAATACACGACTCTGAATTTAGTCAGGCTCCAATGTGGGATGAAAAATCAATAAAATATATACACATTCATTTATAAGAGTAATTCACCCTAAAACAAACTAGGGACCTGGGGTGAAGATGAGGTGTGTTGGAGGGTGGTGGGGACACAAGCAAGTCGAAATGTCACTTGTGGAACATGTTTTCCATACTTCCACTAGAGAAGTCATTTTCCTCATTTTCAAAAAAATTGTTTTCTTACCGAACAAGAGAAAATTGGAAAATATTTTCGTTCGTACCGAACACACACAAAGTGATGAAGTATATTGTAAAGGGAAAAAGTAGTTTTACCGGTAAACATGAATGTCAGTGGAATCAACCCTGATTGGTAAACCATAAATGTTAAATGTATCAAAACTATTAGTAGCAATGACAATCAATGACACCAACAAGCAGCTAAATGTTATGAGTCTCATCACTAGAGATCCCACTAGTGGTTTCAAGCCAATCATTAGTGAAGAAAATGTAGTACTAGTTGATGATGTTTGGTTTTGGTTCATTGTTGTTGTTGATGATGGTGTTTGGTTTTGTTCCATTGTTGTTGTTGTTGATGGTGTTTGGTTTTGGTCCATTTGGTTTATCTTGTACTTTTACTTGCTAGTTGTGTTGCTACTAATAAACTTGCATCTTCACAAAGTCATTAAACCCCCCTTTTATATTGCTTACAAAGTCATACTCCTTCTCCTTCTCCGTCTCATATTAGTTGTCTAACAATAATATATCTAGTGAAATAGTGAAAAAGGTACCTGGGAAAGGTAGAGTGTACGTAGATTTTACGTACACTCTAAATTGTCCACTTTATTATAAATAGTTATCCTAAATTACTTGTCAATTAACAAAACAGAACATAACTAATTAAATTTTTCCATTTTACCTTTACAACTAGTTCTTTTTAAAAAATGTTTGTAAAATTCTGAAAAAAGTTTATTACGGAGTAAATTAGTAAAATTGTCCTTATTTATGATTTCGTAAGCAAAATGTAAAGGGAAAAGTAGACAACTAATATGGGACGGAGAGAGTATTAATTTTTGTGGTTGTTTGTTACGCCCATGAGTTCTTGGTTGTGTAAGTTACAACCAAATTCCTTGGAGGTTTGTTATTTTCAAAGTTTATGTCTTAATCCATATCAAATATATAAGTCCTCTTTATAATAAAAAAAAATAAAAAAGAGCAGGCAACATTGTTTCCCTTGTTAAACATATCCTCCAGCTTTAGACAGCATATAGTTGCAAAATATATTAACTTTAAATTCGCCACATATTATATTTTTCTTGTTTTTTTGAGTTAAAGGTCTATTGAAAATGATCTCTTTACCAAAAATACTTCAAATTCTTCTCTTTTTGATTCACTTATAAAACTATGTTAGATATGTTGTTGTCATTGGAAGCTTCTACCGTTGATTTAATATCGATATTTTTTTGCATGTTGAATGATTGAATTAGTTATGTTTGATAGTTCTAATTTCTTGTAGATTATACGTTTATTTTAACGAGCTTACCTTCTCACAAGACAAAGCACACCAATTTATTTCCTCTTTATATCAATTCTTCGATAAAATATCAATCAAAGCATATTGCAATAATATGTTTGTAACATTAAAATTTGCTTAACAGTATCAGTTAGCAAATCCAAAACTCGAAATTATAAGCTAGTAAACTATAATATATCTTACGGCAGAGGAAATATTTCTTCAGACAATGTCATTATCTTGTCATACAAATACGTGAAAACAAGAGTTGAATCGTGACGTTAATTCTTTAGTGCAACTTCCGTGTTACCAAATTACTGTTGTGCACATTGAACTCTCTGTGCACCTCCATGCATGTCTTCATCATCTTCGTCATATGCCTCTTGGGCCTGTTGCTGCTTCCTCCGCATCTCCTCTTCGATGTTAACATCATGTAAGGTGGTCTCCTCGCACTCGTCCAATTCCATATCAGTCATTTGTGTTTTCGGTTTTGGTGGCAATACTGCTTCAAGGTTCTTGCATTGCTCGGGGGATAATGTGTCGGGGAATTCTACAGTAAAGTGAATGTATAGTTTTCCTCTCATAAATGGTCTTTGGTACATAGGCATTCCTTCATCATTTATGGCTTTAAATTGATCTGTCGTGGCCAAAAACAAAGTTCACGATTGATATCTATGAGCAGAGATTCACATATAAAGCATAATTGATACCATAGAGATAAAAAAGGACACCAAATTTCAACGAACAGCAGGAGAGACATAGTGTGTGCATGAAGAAAACAATTAGACTTACACTCGCTGTATTAGGGAGACAACGATATATCAAGAAGTCCTAGGCATATATCAGAATGTAAAAGCAATTAAAGTATACTTTGGGCTTACCAGGCTTGACAACTTCTCCGGGTTGGGGTTTGATGATCAGCTGCCTATTATCTAGGTGAGTCAAGATGAACTGGAAACCACATAGGGCCTCGGTTAAGCTCAAGGTGTGCTCTACAAAGAGATCATCTCCCTTTCGCTTAAACTTGGGATGTTCCTTCTGTTGCAAGACAAAAACTATGTCCCCAGTGACGGTATCAGGCTGCCACAAAAAGTAAACATAAACAATGTGAAAAATCAATGGTCCCCTTTTTTGGTTGATAATAACATACAAAATGGTCATTATGACATAATCTACTTCAAAAGCTAAATTGAATGTCTTACTGCTTCATCAGCTTCGCCCGGGAATGTTATCTTCTGTCCGTTCTGCATACCCTTCTCGACAACAACTTCCAACACCTTCTTCTCCTGCACAACCTTCTCACCTTTACACTGCCCACACCTATCTTTATCATTGATCATCTCACCAGTACCCTTACACTCGTTGCAAGGGTGCTGCATCTGCTGGATCATGGATGGGCCAAGTTGTCTAATAGTGACTTTCATCCCAGACCCTTGACAGCCAGAACACTTCATTGAAGCACCTGATTTAGATCCTTTCCTGGTAATAAAAATATAGTATAAACCCCAGCAGAACTTCATAGGGAAAGATGATAAAATGATGTCGAAACGTAACTAATAACATCCTAAACTCACCCCTTGCACTTCGAGCACAATACATTGCGAGATAGTGACAGCTTCTTTGATGTTCCATTGTACAGATCCTCCAGAGAAACTTTGAGAGGGTGTACAACATCCTCTCCTCTTCTTTGTCTTCTTCCTCTGCTGCTTCCACCACCTCCTGGACATCAAATAAAGGAATATCAGAGACTGAAAGTAACATGAAAAGGAATCAACAAATTCAACATCAAACAAACAGCCATAGAAACATACCACCAAATGGGCTGCCACCAAAGAAAGATGAGAAAATGTCAAATGGGTCGTGTCCACCACCTCCACCGCCCATTCCTTCCTTGAGAGCATCTTCTCCATACTGATCATATATCTCACGCTTCTCGGGATCACTCAGAACCTCATAAGCTTGTGCAAGCTCTTTAAACTGAAATAAACAAAAAATTGCAGCTAATTCATTGATAAGACTCCACAGTAATTGACATCATTATCCTTCAATTAAGAAAGATTATTAATACAGCGACCATAGTAAATAATGTGACACTAAGAGTGCATACTCAGGGAAGTTAAAGCAAACTCTTGATTTGAAACATGGTGTCCATTACGAACATACATAGTATCCGTTCAATCCCAATAACAGACAATTGAAGTGTGTCTAACATCAGAATTCCTGTTGAGCTGAGGAGGTTTGAGGGTTCAATTACACAACAAAGAAGCTTCACACCAACACATTCAAAGCTTCCTATTTCTGCTAAGCAGCAAAATTAGATCTAAAAATCTACCTTTTCCTCCAAGAGATCAGCTTAATTACAGCAACTATCAAGCAACCATGCCCGATGGATATTAAGGTTCAGTCCAGCTAACATATCAAACTAGTTAGTCAGCTTATTTAGGGCAATGGATAGAATTAAATTCTCCATTCAATTTTACCACCAGAAATCACTTTTCTAAGCTCAAAGAAAACCTACAGATAAAGCTATGATGGATCTAAACTAAACCAAAAGAATTCCAAAACACCCATTTGTATAAAAGATACACAAACAAAATACAATTGAGATAATCTATGAAAAATTGATGCCGAGGCAAATCCAGTATTTAAACACGCCAGATGCACTACATAACACACACATACACACTCATATACATATTTCACTTTTTCTATGTAAGTTCGCGTTCGAGAGATTTAGGGCATGTACACCCACTGCTTATATGCTTGATCAGCTGAGGTAAATCCAGTATTTAAACATGATGACTGCACTTCTTAAAACACACACATACACAGAGACACATATGTATACATATTTCAATTTTTTCTGTAAATTTGCGTTCAAGAGATTGAGTGCTCGTACACCCACTGTTTATATGCTGGATCAACTGTGGTGAAAACAATAACCAAGTAGCTGTACCCTTTCAGGATCACCTACCATTTGTATAAAATCACATACAAAAAGAAATGATTGCAAAATGAGATAATCTCTACAGACAAACTCCATAAACACAAAACAATTTTATAAAGATGGTTGCACTTCTTCACACATTCTAAATTTCTCAGTAAATTTGAGCTTGGGAGACTTGGAATGTACACTCACTGCTTATATGCTTGATCAGCTGAGGCAAACCCAGTACTTAATCACGATCTACACTTCTAAATGAACACACACATCCACATAGATACACAGACGTACACACATTTCAATTTTTTCAGCAAATTTGCATTCAAGAAATTTAGTGCACATAACCCACTACTTATATGCTAGATTAGTTCAGGTAAAACAGAAAAAAATAGCTGTACCTTTTCAGGATCACCTCCCTTATCAGGATGGTTCTTAATAGCAGCTTTACGGTAAGCTTTCTTGAGATCTTCCGGTGCAGCAGTCTTAGGGACACCTAAGATCTCATAGTACTTCGTGTTGTCGCTCTTCTTCGGTGCCCTCCCAAACATCTTCTATCGCTTAATTTAGTCAAAATTGAACTAAAAAAAACACCAAAATCAGTTACAAATTGAACAATTAACAATTGGAAAATTAAGAACATATCAAGCACTCTTCTTTGGTGCCCTCTAAAGCATCTTCCCATGACTCAATTAGTCAAAAATTGAATTTAACAAACAACAGCAAATCAGCTACAAAATTATATATAGGAAAATCACAGCATATCACTCCCCCTTCTTCGTTTCTCTCAAAAACATCTTCGATTGCTTAAATCGTAACTAATTGAACTAAAAAACAATAAAATCAGCTACAAGTTACAATCAGAAAATTAAAAACATAGCATATCAAGCAGTCTTCTTCAGTGTCCTTCCAAACATCTTTGATCACTAAATTAGTCAAAAATTGAAACCAGAAGGCAACAGTATATAAGCTACAAAATTAAAAATCGGAACATTAAACCACACCAAGCTTAATTAGTCAAAAAACTAAACTTAAAAAAACACACAACATCAGCTACAAAATTAACAATCAGGAATTTAAACTATATCAAGCACTCTTCTTCGTTGCCTTCCAAAAACATCTTCGTT